TGGTAGGCAACCAATACTAATAAGCTGCAAAGTGTATTTAACAATGATACAGGTACTAAAAAGTAAGATACAAAGCCCTTGTTGTCTCACCCAACCGCCAGTAGGCAGCATGCGATATTAAAGTAAGCATAAGTTAATCTCGATTAAAGCTAAACATTTCATATTAAAAAAAAGAATATCGCTTGATGCATGATTAAAAAACACTAAAATGGAAATGGATTGTGGTGAAACCTTAAAATATAGAAACCTTACTGCGTTCCTTTAATAAAATTATTTTGTATGTACACCATGCTCAAATGAAAGCCTACTTTAAATAAGCAACAAGTCGAGTCAATGTTTTCAAGAGTATTGAAAATAAAGGCGAGTTGTTCGTAATCGTAGGGAGAAATCACAGTATTCCAGAGCTCATCGAGCACCAATTTGAACTCGAACCAAGCAGAAGGTATCACTGAGATGGAGTTCGTTGAATCGACGAGTTGAAGGAGAGTACTGTGAACCACCTGGACGACAGAGGCAGCACGCTCAAGAACTCGATAAACATGCTTTCTTTAAAAATATAAACAAACAAAGAAATAAAGGAATGATGGATGTGGTGGTACGACTAACATTTTTTTATAAAATCAATGTTAGTAGCCAGTAAAGTTGATTTAAAGAGGACAGTGAAGGGGTAAGTTATATGAGATTTGAAGATCAAATGAAGTATTACAGGAATTCTAATAGATTGAGAATAATAAAAAAGAACAAAAATGGCTGCGATAAACAATATGAAGACACAAACAGGGATAATGAAGCAATATACTCATTGGTACCTAGTCTAACGCACTTTAGGCATTTAAGAGAAAATTAATGAATCCTTCACGATGACATGGTTTCAAACCTCCTGCATGAGGAAAAATATGAAGACCAAGATAGCGTAACCATTATTTCAATCGCATAGCAGAATTAGCCTGAGCTCGATTTTTCAACTATGTACATTCCTCAAAGTCTCTCTGAAATTATAATTAAGGAGTCAAAATGAAATCAAACAAATTTTAGTGTTTTTTGTGAATCAGATGTAGTGGAGTTTCTTTAAGAAACTAGTGACATTTTCCATTAATCAGATTTTCAAAATCCACTCGATAATGCGCTGAATCAACAAAAATAGTAGAAATTTAATTTAGTTATTTCAAAACTTTAGGGCTCATGTACAAGTGGAAATGATCATAAGAACTTCTTACAGAAACAGTTAAATGTTTATCAATAAACCAAATTAACAGATATTATATATCCTCAAAGCCAATTCCAATGCGATTACAATTTCACATTATCGTCAAGAATTCTGCTTATGCAGATCTAATTCGCATAAGCCAATAAAATTTCGGTATATTGATCAAAGCTTGACAATTCATTTAGTTAATTTTTAACAAGGCAAGCATAGCCCGAATAAAGGTAAGGCCAGAAAAAAATCCGTTAGAGAATAAGTACAAATTTAGAAACAAACATAAGCTAGAAAAATTCTGAGGATTCAAAGGGGAAATTAGAATTGCTCTAGGTGCCGTAGTCTTACCATGGCCCGCAGTAACATGCTAGGAAACAAATAAGACTAACTAAAGAATATGGTGTTATGAGGAAGTATTAAAGAATAGAGTATATGGTTAGTCTAAAATATAGCACCGGTATAACGAGAGCTCCGAATGGGCTGAGTAGCTGTCGACTTTGCTGGTCATCTTGTGTCTGTCGATCGCTGAGGCAGATGTCTTCAGTGCTGAATACCAAACATTTTGGCACCCCGGCTCGAGATATGTAGAAGACAACATATGTTGCTGCTGTTGTGGCGCAGCATTAGTCGGTAGGCTTGCCTGCCTAGCCAGGGGGTCTTGTGAGTTCGTGCCGACAAGCTTCGAGAGACCTATGGTTGAAGCTGGCTGTCGAGGAGACGTTTGGTGTGGACGGCCGGCAACCTCAGCTGTTGATGTAAATAGAGCTACGAGATGCGTATGCACCAAACTAGATAAAGGCAGACCAAGAGAAGTTGATAGCGTAAGAGGACAAGCAGATGAAGGTATAGTGCCTGGCTGTGCAGACACGGTACCATTGGCGTCAGTTTGGCCGGCCCGAGTCTGTGCATTAGAAAAGGCAATGGCTGGCTCAACTAGCTGAAAGTCACGAGCGAAAGCGATTATCAGAGGCAGCTGGGGCGGTTCCTGTGACAGTCGGACGGGTTGTCCACCAATACTGCAACTTCCAGCACCGGACTGTCCGATGGGGCGCGAAGATCTACTCCGATCCGCCAGATCAAAGCGAGCAGAGTGACCAGGTTGGCCGGGCCAAGGAACCAGTTGACAGAGACGATCAAGAAGAACTTGCAATGAAGAGCGTCCACCCCGTACTGCTCTGGAAGCACTTAGCTATTAAAAGGAGGCGAAGGAATCAAATACCAAAATGAAAGGGTAAAGTTTTAAAATGAGCCAAGACAAAAGCCTTAAAACCTTGCTGTTGCTAAAAGTTAGTAAGAAAGCGATGTCTAATAAGGTAATAAATTATTCAAAATGGTGACTCAGAACGAATATCAAAAAGGCGTTTCACGTACTTAGTTCACAGTGGCTGAACCCTAGCATAAGGTATAATAAAAGGAATTTGTCTACTGCCGAGTTTGCTCAAGCGAGTTAAAAAGATGTACCAATAAGAGATGGAAAACCAATAAGACCTCATAGCAAATGTCTCAAAAAAGTTAAATAATTAAACTTCAGACGCGGTAATAAATGATATTCAAGCCTCTATTTAACTTTAATAAGTAAAATTACAAATATTGGGAAAAAATGTCAAGGGAATATAGACAAATTGCATGGTTATGACTCGAAAGCAGATGAAATGAAATAAATGTGGGAAAAAAGCATAAAAAGGACCACATTCTGTTTATGGTCC